GGCTTTTAAGTTTTATTCAGTTCCACATAAAACAGCATCATTTTTACTGTCTTAAACTTCCATACTCTAAATACTAGTCTCATTCTTCTGCCTACTGTGGGCACCCTCTATCTGTAGGTAGGTGAGCTTAGAGCAAAGCCAAGGGAAAAAGGTCCTAAATAACCTGAAACTATGATTTAGGAAGCATTTCAAAGAATTGTTTCCAGTGGAGAAAATAATACAATATTATAATTTGTCCAAATCAAGTAGTGAGTAATGGAATGAAAATTACAATTTGAACATACAAATATTAAATGCAATGGGCAAAATTTGCACTTCTGAAATATGCTTGAGTGATTGTCACAGATGCTGACGTTTGAGCAATAAATGAAGACTAACTGCAAAACAAATGGCAGGAGCCAGTTTCCTCACAAACCCCAAACTGGCTTCAGGTTTGGAAATATCACAAAAACATTATTAATGTCAGTGTTTACCTTTGTTCTGAACAACCATTATGTCACCTGCATGTGTGAACTATACCATGACCATTTTATACATTATAACTATCAATTCAAAAGCACCAACCAGTCAAAGCTGGATATAAACCAGCAGTTTTGATGTACATCAGACCTCATTGCCAACTGCATACAGCAGCAAATACTCTCCCACAAAACAGATGCTGAAACCTGCAGGAAAAATTAACTCACACACCGCTCACAAACAAGGCTCCCCTTAGCCCTGGGCCCCATCACAGACTAAACACTGCCATCACCACATTCTTTTTGTATGCGTAGCTAGCAAACAAGCCAGGTTAATAAAGGCTTTGCTGGTTCACTCATTTGGGGTGGGGGAAGAGGGTTGTTAACAGCAGCACATCACTCTGCATGAACTCTGAAGAGTCACCTTACATGACCGAGCTGCCTGCCCACCCATCAGTTACGGTCACATTTGACACCACTGTAGAGGTCTCAAAAATAGACTTCTGGCACATTCCTTAGAAATCAAGACCCAGGTAAAGTGGATTGTGTCACATTAGTGCCTATCCTGTGCAAAACCAATGATAAGCAGAGTACTTTATCAACTGCAGAGCAGCAGGCCAATTGACAGATGCAATGCTCTAACATGTACACCACTTCTTTGCCTGGACACATCTCATGGCATACTGGATGTGTTGAGCAACCACAGAGCATTTGTGCAACACGACAGCTGGAAGAAGCCGACAGGAAGAAGTTATTGTGATAGGCAGGTGAGGACAAATCTGCATCAAACATAATATATCCTTAGCTGTATCATTCAAGGAAGCTACTTACCTCTCATGAGGGAGCCCACAAAAGAGATTAAATAAACAGGCATTCAAAAACCTCCTTTTGCACTCATAGTTATTGAGTGCACTATATAAACCTTGAACACTACACAGCATTTTTTAAGTCAGAATCAAGCCCATTCCTTTAACAAGGGAAAAACAAAACAAAATTATGGAAGCTCTCAATTCTCTTTAAGTTGTCAATTGCCATCAGCTCTCACACAGACAATATGAGAGGAGACGACATTGGATACTTGCCTTTCCTCAGCTGAGGAACACTGAGAAACTGGAGAGAATCTGCATTCAGCATGCAAAAAGCAAAAAAAAAAAAAATTATAATTTTTCCAGGAAAAAGGATATAGGCAAAACCCAAGACTCCCATGAAGGTCCCCAAAGCAAATTAAACATGATTTGTGAAAACAAAACTGTTCATCCATTGCGGACAGGGAAGTCAGGACTAAACTACTGACATGTTATATTACTTCAGGAATCTCTTCCGTCTCCGATTTCACTCCACAAGTATGTGGGGCACAGTATGTCAGGCTTTTTGGATCCATAGGTGCATGGAAAAATGAAACGCTTCCATATTCTTTTCAAGTGGTAAGAAAAGGCAATCTATGGGATGGCTAACCAGCAGTTCTGCCCTGTGGAACTAAAAATGTGATTTCAAATAAATTACAACAAGAAGTTGCTCTCAAATAACAGAAACCTGTATTTCACCTCCTCACCTTCCCCCCAAACCTGCGTAAAATTTACTGATTCCTAGAGAAGTACAGCTTTAATGGCTGGATTCAAGTAACAGTGTAGAATCACCCTTTACCTGAACAGAATATATTTGCTTTGAAATAATGAGTGATAATGACTGCCTACAGCTATTTAAGATACATTAAAAATGAAGGGAATTTCATACCAGGCATTTCTAAAGAAGGCGAGACTTCATGCCTTCAAAACAAGGTAGTCACAGGACACTGACTAAATGCTGATTTGCAACATAACTTAAAAGTAGTGTTTTGGTTTTTTTTGTTTTGTTTTTTTTTTTTAAAATCACAAGAGAGTGCAAGTGTTGCTGCTTCAAAGGAACCACAGATGGGCTCTCTTTGATGTGCATTCATTTATCTATTCGGAAGTGGGTCACAGCACTAACTAATCAGAACAGTCAGTGGTATTTACCTCCACCCACTGAAGCAGTAAACTGTTCCATAGAAGGTTCAGAATCTTTACACAGGAATAAGAGAATCTGAGGAGGACACTCCTTGGTGAAGCTACAGGATGAAACACCACACCCCAATGGAAAAGATTACAGGCAATTGGTACACTTGTGTTTTAGAATGCTAATACACACATATACCTCCAAATATATATTGTGTCACAAGCCTGAACTGCAGGAGATGTCAATGATTTTCAGATCTTTTCTGAATGCTTAAGTGACTCCATTAATTTTTCATACATTCTTGCTGGCTGCGTGAGAACAAGATAACAATTCTCGGAGAACATTCAGCCTAAGGCTGTTGTACATGACAGAAGAAACCAGCAGAGAAGAATTCTGAAAACTCTTCCATAAAGTAAACCAGTGAGAAATAGCAGTAAAATGTTTAATGCCTGTAATTTATTGTATACATACTCTGCAAAACTTATATGCATTTGGTGTGTGCAAAAGTGTACACTTTGACAGCACCAGAAAACAGTTAAGCCATGTAAGAGTTTTTAACCTGATTTGTCACATTGTGTAAAAAGACATTGTGCAAAAAGACATTGTGCACAAATGATATCCCCAAAGGAAAAAAAAAATAATCATTGGCTAAAACTAGAAGCACCCTTATTTACACACTAACACTTTAACATTGCATCAAACCCACTCACCAAAATAAATAGTACATTCATCACAATTTAAACACCAGTCTCTCCATATATTTATTTTCTTTCTGACATGTTTTGGTCTCCAGAAATAACGCTCTATCTAGAAATACGCATCAGTTACTAGATTATGTTACAAAATGCAAAAATAATAGAAAATTTGTTTCCCTGGACAATACTTTGGGCTTTACATAAAAATAAATCCAGATTTCCATAGAGATCTCATATACTTCTTGAAAGATTTTTATTTTAAAGCACAGCACAGAGTTGCACACTAAGGCTTCCTGTGATATGCAAAACCCTGGCCTCCAAAAGATGTCGCTGTAAAGTGAAATACAGCTCAAGTGTAAATACAAGACATTTTCAAAAAGTAGTCATCAATAGAAAGTGCCCTTCATTTGATTTAGCATTAACAGTAAAGAAGTAGCTACTGTAATTGCGCAATCAAATCCAGACCTGGAAGGGTTTTATGAAAAGTATGTAATTTCATACTGTCAAGTTTAAGGATACAGAATCTGAGATAGCAGAAACCAACCAGCCTTTTTATACTCCTACATTCATTATTTTTTTGACACAATTTAGTGAAAAAGGCACATTGTCAAACAGTGAATTAAGAATCTACAAACCAAACCAGAATCTCATTAAATACAATTAAACCATTAGTTTAACATCAGATCCTCATAAACCAATATAAGCATTCTTCCAGTTTTTCTTAACCTCAAATTCAGATGCACTTTGGACAAGCACTGAAGTACTCTCATTAGATTAATACTACCAATCGGCAAACAGTAAACATGTTTTTGGATACAAGGTCAGGAATTAAACCCTAAAACCTTAGTTTCTTCATAGCCAATTTACAAATATGCAGCAAATGCAAACATTAAACCCCAAACATTTGTACAAAATTTGAAACCCATTAGCATCCCATGCCAAATATGAGAAAGTACTTATTGACTGTAAAATTACAAATGTGTCCTTGAACAGTTTTTCACATGAAATCAACAAAATTTAAGCAATGATCATTGTGTGAAGAAACAGTTGTAACAGTATCTTAGGGAGGCTAGCAGAGTACATTCCAGTCACCATCTAAAGGACAAAGTGCTTTACAGATTAAGAAAGTTAACAGATCTTGCATGGTAAAAAAAAAAAAAAAAAAAAAATCAGGAAGGTGAAATAACTGGGGTTTATTTAACCTGTATTTATCTGAAATGCAGATTCAATTTCCAATTGAACCAATTCTGAATATATTTCTTTTGCTTCATAAGAGACTTTTCCCAGCCAGGCAGGAAGTTGCTCACAGCTGATCTAGCTATCAGGTTTGGCAGACCTAGAGCCTTTCTCTAGCTAAAAAGAATTAAAAAGCAAAAACCCAGTAACTTGATCATGGTCCCAGTGTTCATGGTCTTGAATGAATAATTCTAGGAATTACAACAGAAAATTTCAGATAGTCCCAATGTACCAGGGTGAATACAACACACTTTAGACAAGCAGAGAGGTTATGCTATCTTGCGTGGTCTCAAGTGCATACACTGATAAATGGTTTTTGTTAGTTAACATAGAAAAAAAATACATAGAGAGCAAGGATGATGGTATCTTTACCTGGGCTCCCTGTCAGATAATACTGAATTAGTTTATAGAATCTATGCCAATAGCTTACTCATGTCAGTGTTTTACTGAGGCAGTGAAATGCTACACCATTGAGAGAAAACATCTTAAAAAGGCCAATCTGTTTTTTCTTACATTAAGAATCAGACATTTAAACTTCAGCAGCTTCTAAGATTGCTCCTTATATGTTGCTATCTGAACTGCTTCCTAAAAGCATCATTGTTCAGAATAGCCCTGATAGAAAAACAACAAGGGAACCTTTCCTATGGGATAATTTTTAATTTGTATTGCTTTACTTCCTCCCTTTTTGTACTTTTCCAAGTACACCTAGCATTAAAACATAACAGCCTCAGCAGCTGAAGCCAGAGGTACTATCAATGGAGTCCTGGAGCTTGAGGCAAAGCTGAGTAGTGGTACTGGTGAACTTTGAAGGGTGACCTGGGGAAATCAAAAGCAGGTGCAACATCAGATTTGAGCTTCAGACTTCCAGTACAACTCCTGTAGACCTACATAAGCCCTGTGCTGACTGTAAACAAATTCAGTTACTGAAACAAACAGTCTTTAAGTGCATAGTTAGAAATAATGTGCAAATATGGGCATTAAAGTAAGTAACTGAACTAGATTTCCTGCTGTATATAATATTTTAGCTTCTTGGTTTGATGAAATTAATCACAAGTACTAACCAGTCAAAAAGAAGTTGTTAATATTGAAGAGCTGCAAATACTTTCTAGCAAAACTTAATTCTGATGTGCTTTCTAAATAAAACCTAATTAGATAAATGACTGCTTCACATTGTAAATCATTTAACACATCGGATGTTTAATGCAAGGAAAAAAAACGTGCACCAAACACAGTCTGTAAAGCAGCAGAAGCTATTAAGCAAATGGGAAGATTTACAGGGCAGGAAAAGAACTTCCAAGCGTATGCTTGAGCCCAAAAGCACATGTTGCATACAAGCATTAGGAATTCCTGTTTTCAGGGCGTGTATTTATCATCCTGAATTAGATTTGTATTGGAATTCCAGACACAGCAAAACCCAATGTAATCTTTTGGCCATGTCTGTAACAGTTTGCAAATGATATGCACTTTTCTGTTTAGAAATAAAAGAGACTCAAATTGGTTTTATGGGTCTTCAAATCAGAAAATATGCAGCACTTTATTGCTTTGAACATCTGTGGCAAGCGCTGAATTTATACCCAAGCCGCTTCTGAAGAGATGATGACATCTTAATACTTCGAGGCTCAAGCTGGGACGGAGAATAGGATATAAAGCAATTTCTCCAAGTCTCAAGAAATATTAAGGAACAAGAATGATATTCTAGTCTTTCAAGTGAATATAAAATTGGTTTACCTCTATATGCTGATTAGTTCTGAATCAGTGCATAGCTAGTCAATATTTCTGCTGGCATCTTGAACAGGTTTAATTAATGGAAACATCTATTTATTTTATTCCACTTAATATGCATTAGTGCATTAATTTCTTAATAAAAAACAACCCTGGCAAGTATTAAAAATAAATATCTTATTTAAGTCAAACTAAAGCCTTGCTTTTCAGTACTTTATCCCTTTAAATATTATTTGCCCTCTAAGAAGAAAACAGAAACTGAAGTAGAATAAGAGATGTATGGAAGCAGAGGGTAACAGAAACATGACAAAGTCAACACCATCAGTCAGTTAATGTGTCCTCATCTTCTTAGACTGTCTCTTGCGTTTTAATTCTTCTTCTTCCCGTCTCAATTCTTCTAAGTCCTCCTGAACACCGAGCCTTAAGCTGCCAAATAAGATTAAATTCTTTACACAACTACTCAAGAAACATGAAGCTTGACTTTTATCCATCCCCCAACAAAAACAATGCTAAAATTACATCTGATTTGAGCAAAAACTTTACAGAAGTTCAACAATCAAGTTTTTTTTAATTATACCAAGAATACAGCTTTAAGAAATCAAGATATGAAATTAGAATAAAATCTTTGGAAGGAAAAGTTACTTTAAGAAAGTAAAATGGTAAAAAAGTGTTTTTAATATGAAAAGTATTTTTTTTCCCAAAAAGAAGCTGCTGAAACACATCCATCAATTCCTGCCAATGTAGCTCTTACATACAAGTCATAGCAGGACTGACTCTGATCAGCTTCTGAGAGCCACCTAAATCGACCTTTTACACTGGCAAGGGAGACAATAGATAAAGTCAAACAGTAATGAAGCAAACGACTTGTTGCAGCTTCCTGGCTTGAGGCAACATTGAGGTAGCTACAGGCACAACATTGCTCCATCCTCACCCTACCTAGCTCTTGTGAACAGGCCCATGGAAGAAACTCTAATACATCATGTTTAGCTACATCCCTGCATGATTTCTGCAGCTTCTTAGAGGTCAGTATGTTGAAAGTGATACTGAGAACAGTATCTGCAACAGCTGTTCTCCTTTTCAACAAATAAGGGCAGGATAGTCTTGTTGGTTTGATACTAGGAATGGGTGCGGCAAAGTTACCAGCTATTGGCAACTTCCTTATCAGCTTTTGCTTCTTTTGCAGCCCAGCCAAGTGCATTTGCACACTCAGTTCATTATGGAGCAACATAAGGCAGCATAGCATGCACCTCAATGCAGAAGGCTGAGCCACATGACAACGAGGATTCAACTCTTTTGGGCTAAACTGCTCCAATACAGGCTATAAAATGGATTTTATGCCTAAACAAGCACAGCAAAGTCATCCTGAATTCAGAAAACTGCAATCTTTTCAATTAAGAATAGAAACAAACACATCAGGGATCTTTGTGATGAAACTGGCTTGAGACATTTTTTCATTTCAACTTAGAACTTAACAATTACAATTTTGGTGGGATTGTTTTCTTAGAAGTAGTTCCTCTTTTCAAGGTTGCTTTTAACCAAACTTTTAACCTAACCATGGAAAAATAATTAAACCCAATTTTACTCAAGTTCCTTATCTCCCCTTCCTTTATGCTGCACACATAGATTTCCAATTCTGCAAAACCTCACTCTTGATCTTCACAGACTACAGTTAATAGCAATATCATTGTAATATTACAGTTATTTCCTCTTACTCCATTTAACAGACTATAGCTCTGCATGAGCTGCAACTATTCACCAGGGACAAGGACAAATAAGGACACTGACTGTAACTTCAAAAAGATGCAAGTTTCCAATGCTCAAGGCACCTTCTGAATAATAAAGTTTCAGTTGAACAAAAACCATTTGTTAGGTCAGTATATTCCAGTATTTTCCACTATCTACAAAAACCTTTTATAACTTACACAAAGCTTGTCCCATCAGCCATTAAAATCCAAAGTAAATCAGTTTATGATCAACAGGTTTTATAGTAACAGGAGCTGTATAGGTCTAGAGGGCAAAACCAGTGAAAATACAATATTTGTATTCTAAATCACTGATTGCAAAAGTTCAGAGTACTTCAAACAACAAAATATGCACACAAACACATGTCTATAAATAACACACACACACCCACCACCCAAAAAAAACCCACCTCCTTCCAGTCCTCAAACTAGCAGAATATCGTAAAGTTTGGGACAAATTGATGGGTTTCATATTTCAGCAGAAGTATTTTTAAATAGATTTTTGGGCATAAGTTTGCCTTTTTGTGTGGGGGCTTTTTTTTGTTTTTAATAAGCAGAGTTTGTGATGCATGAGAATGAACATACAAGATATATTTACTGTACCCACCACAGGCTGGCTTTCATCTTTACCAAAGCTCTCTTACAAGTAACACTAAGGCATATTTATCTCTGCAATAAAAAGTGGCAAATATCCACTCTAATTCAGCCCCATGACTTGGCAATGGGGTCTTCCCTCTTTCTATCAGTTTTAAATTCGTGCATACCTCCTAGCTTCTTCTTTCTGTTGCTCTCTCCAGCTGCTCTCCATATAGCGTAAGGCATAATCACTTTCATCTTTGTATCTGGAAATTAAATATTAGTTTTCAGCACACTAAAAACTACAATCATGTACAATTCAGTTATGAATTCACATCACTTCTTAGAAATAATTACCTTGCCCCACACAGATTTTAAAGTTTTGAAAGAATCTATATTACAAGCCTTTAAAATGCTTGCTTTCTTATACTTTGTCAGACAAGAGGGAAGTACTTAAATAGCCAAAGAGCAGCCTTCACTTCCCAGCAGTTCCTAATCATATCAAGTTAGATCCTCTTACAGAGTAGCTAGCACTATTACATTTAGCAGTTCATATTCAGGCAGCAACATTTGATGAATTCTGAAATACTGCAGACTGCTATGGAAACCATTTAAAATCCAGTAATGGAAAGAAGTTACTATGATTTATACAGGTGAGACATTGAAGAAGCTGTATTGTTTTCCAGCTATGTTCTACTGCATCAAATTTTATTGAACGTGGTAGCAGTGTGAAAATTCAAGGTCCCTTTAGCACAGAAGCAGTTCTAATGATTGTTAAATTTCTGCAATGCAAACCCAGTTTTGGATACCAGCACTTCCTCTAATTCAAAAACATTTATATTTGAACTATACTGATTTCTGTTGATTGCTCTGCAATACCTTAAAATTAACATTTGCTTACCTTTTCCGGTCATAGCCAAATATTTCCCGAATATGTTTTGATATTTCTTCCTGGGGTTCCCCTTCATCTTCAATGAAGTCATCCATTTCAGAGTCATATTCATCATCATCATCATCATCATCTATTTGTCTCTTGTAACTAATAGGTGGTCTCCCAAGCCCTAATTGACAGGAGAGTAAAAAAAAAATCATTAATTAATAGCATTAATATAACATTGATTTGACAGTACTTCTCCTTGGTATGCTTTGGACACAGCAGTTTTACAGCTCCAGGCTTCAAGGTGGAAAACATCTGCCTCAAGTTAACTAACAATTCTCAGAAACTCAATAACAGGAAATACTTTCCCTAAGTTGTGCTTTAGAAGATTACATCTTAGTATCACCAATGATGCCAACCTGAGGAAACTGTCAGGCAGAAGTCTATGCTCTTGTTCAAGGCTTTCTAGGCACTTATTTGTTAGATAGGGTTCATGCTGCTTGTTCCTGTTCAGAAACAACTTTTCAGAACAGCTTGCTTACTGTTAAAGTGAATTTTCCAAAATATGTACATTTCAGTCACAGGTTTGCCGTGTGGTTTTAGTTTTTATGTACCACTTTAAACATCCATTATTTAAGACATTAGAATTTTAAAGACTAAGCATAATTAAACAATACAGGAAGTGAATCCTTTAATTCTTTTCCTTCTAACAGCATTCATATATCAACATCTATCATAGGCTGCTTAGTTTTCTTTCCTGTAATACTTCACATCCCAGTCTGGATTTCAAGAAACATGAGCACAGGTAAAAAATAAACTAGAAATTGCAAAGCAAAAAACAAACGTTCTACTGTGAAATATGGTATTTTGTCCAAGACTTCCTAATTGTACCCATAATTGTCAAAGGCCCTCTGTGACATAAACACATACATACTTTAAAAATATAAACCAAATAACTGAAAAAATATTTGCTCTGGAATTTCATACCTTGTGGATGAAACACAGGTCTACGACCTTGAAAAGATCTCATGCCATTTATCTGTCCATTGCTGGGTCTTGTTACTAAGTTTTTAGAAGAAATAGTTTCTGATACAACAGTACACTTCGGTTTTACAGTAGTACCCAAACCACTGCCTGGTCGCCCAGGTCCTGCACTTGGGCTGATGCCTGGTCTTCCTGGTCCTGTTCCCAAACTGCTGCCTGGTCGCTTGGCTCCCATGCCTGAACTGACTCCTGGCCTTCCTGGTCCCGTACCCATGCTGCTGCCTGGTCGACCAGGTCCAGTACTTGGTCTGATGCCTGGCCTTCCTGGTCCCGTACTCGTGCTGCTGCCGCCTGGTCGACCAGGTCCCGTACTCGTGCTGCTGCCGCCTGGTCGACCAGGTCCCGTACTCGTGCTGCTGCTGCCTGGTCGACCAGGTCCCGCACTCGTGCTGCTGCCGCCTGGTCGACCAGGTCCCGTACTCATGCTGATGGCTGGCCTTCCTGGCCCAGTGCCCAAGCTGCTGCCTGGTCGCCCAGGTCCTGTGCTTGAGCTGCCTGCTGTCTTTCCAGGTTTCATGCTTGAACCACTGCCCAGTCGCCCAGGTCCTGGGCTTAAACCACTTCCCGGCCTTCCAGGTCCCACACCAGAATTGCTGCTTGATCGCCCAGGTCCTGTACTTGAACCACCACCTGGATGCCCAGGTCCTCCTTTCCCTAAGCTGCTGCCTGATCGCTTTGCACTGGAGTTAATTCCATGCTGAAGGAATGCAGTATTTCCCGATTTCATATGGGCAGACTTTTTTAGGCTGGATTCTTTAGCAGACAGAGGCCTCTGAGCCCCATTGGCTGTTGCTTTTGAGGGTGGCACATGAGAACTTGAGCCAGACCTTCCAATACCATTAACAGGCAATTTACCATGACTGCTACCAGGAGAGCTTTTTAAGGAGCCATTTTGTGAGTTTTTTCCCGTTTGATCAAATCTGGAGGAAGATGATGATCGTGAATATTTTTCAGCCAATGCTGGTGTTTTGGATTTCTTATCAGTACCACTGATAGAAGATGTTAGACTGCTTTTTGGTATGGAATGTTTATCTACTGAGCTTTTGTTAAGCTTTGCATTCACAGATTCTTTCTGAGAGGTCACTTTTTTGGAAGAACTGGATATCCCTGTATTCTTAACCTCCTTCTCGGTTTTCCCGTGCATTTCTACTCTTTTGCTTTTGCGCCCTAAGTACTCCCTCTCTCTCAATTCTTCTGCTGTTCTGGGTCTCTCTTCTACTTTTTTCACTGGTTTTATTTCCACCGGTTCATACTGCTTTTTTTCAGCAAGTCTTAAGAGCTCTGCAAAGTTCAGAGGTGCTGGTGCACTTTTGGGAGGTGCCTTTGGTTTCATTGCAGCTTTGGATGGTTTCTCTTCATATTCTTGCTCATGCTCAGATTCAGTGTGACTATATTCAGGTTGCTCAGTTTCCTCTTCTGTTGCATACTCAGCCTCTGGGGCTTGAGCAACATTTTCACAAGTCCTCCTCTTTTTAGGCTTCTCTTCAACAGGAATGCCATTATAACCATAAAAATTATCCTTTGTCCTTGAGGCCATAGCTCTTGCCTTTCTGTCATGTTTAAGTTCAATGCGTCTAGCCAAGAGCTGTTCTTTCTTTCTTCTTTCTTCCAGTGCTGTAAAAGAAAACCAGGAGAAAAGTATGCAAAAGCACTCCTTTATTTAAATTTCTTCGAGATAAGACATTTAGGACAGTAATTTAGATATCTGGCTAACAGCTATTCAAAATAGACTATAGCTAACCCACCTGAACAAGCTACTCTTACAAACAAAGGTGAACAATTAAGTCAAATACTGCTACTGCAAAACCCATTAAGGTTATTCAACCAAAGCAGCTCTCCAGAAAGCTATGCAAACTAAGGAGAACTACTGTGTGAGGAGGTACACGACTTAGGGAATTTCTGGGTAATGGAAGGAGTTCTGAGACTGAGCAAGAGAACCATGAGACAGTACAGAATTTACTGTCAGATGTTTACAGGAAATAAGGAAATGGAGGAAATCAGAGAGCACTGGGGGGATAAGAACCAGAAAACACACTGAGTGTGTTTAGAAGGGTGTAGGGGAGAGAGGAGCCAGCCACACATAAGCAAACTGGTGGTGGCTACATTTGTCTGACAGAGAACTGTGCCCTATCTCTACAGTCTGTCCTATATTTTTACTAAACTGTTTTTAGCTAATTTCTTCACAGCTATGCTCTCTAGCTCAAGCCTGCATGTGATCTGCTGATGTAAAATTCAGTCTGAACTAGCTGGTGAATAGGATGAGATGTTTGAATGTCAGGTACTGGGGAGACCAAGGGAGTAGGTGCCAAATACCAGAAAACACTCAGAAAAAGCATCAATTCCTAGAAAATGGATTGACCTACTCATGCTTTGGGTGTTACCTGTAAAGGTAACACCCGCTACCTATGTTATTGTGTTGTCAAGGGCCATGACTGTACAGAGTGTGTGTGCATGCATGCCTATGTGGAATTCATGTTCAGTCTTGCTTCTGGCTGGACCACAATACAGGGAATAAGGAGCAGGCTCATTACAGGACCAGAAGAGGAAGAATAACACCTGGGTCATCCAGTCCATCAGATTTGGTTACCTCTATCAAAGCATTAATATCAGAAGCAACACAGTATTAGCTTATTTTACAGACTATTTAAAGGAAATACAATACAGTGGAAAAACTGTGGCTCAAACAAAGCTGCTGCTTTACAAAAGTGAAATTCAGACTGCACCAATACATTAGATTAAGACACAACAAGAACTTTTACCATTTTTCCATGCACAAAGCTTTTCAAAGTTAAGTTACCAAAAGTCCACATGATTTCTTGCAATACCTCTTTCTCCTTACCTACTCATCTCCAACAGCAAATACTAGTATAGCTGATACTTCAGTCATGCAAAAAATCCCTAGTCTTTACTTAGCCCTGGCTTTCCCTCAGCATGTTAGGTACATAAATTCCAGAAACAGATGTGTAGCTGTATTTGCTAGAGCTTTTAGTAAGGTGACAGAGTCTCAAGGTCAATGGAAGTCTCCCACAGGAAATATTTTGAGCTGCTACCTTTCTTTCTTTTCTCTTCTTCTTGCCGTCTGAGGAATGCCTGCACTGCTGCAGACTCTACACCCTTGACTTTCGGAACCTTTTTGGGAGGACCAACAGCCAAACTGTACCTTTTCTGTAAAGAAAAAAGAAGTATGTCAGAAAAATTAAGAAATGTAAAAATCTTAGAAGTTTTTAAAACTGACAAGTTGCATAACAGTCATGTACTTGACTTTAGGCAGGGATGGTACAAGATAAACACACATGAATTCCCACTGAAGCAGAGCTGTGATGGATACACTTAACTCACAGCTGTATTTTGGTTCATGCTAAGGAGCAACAGGCCTCGTATCTTTGGGGTGAACTTGCGACCTAGAAACCCCCCCATCTTGTTTATGCTATTGACGAGCAGCCAACTACTTACTTCACCCTAAAAACGTTATTATCAGGATGGGCCCAGTCTGAGCTCTCCCTGAACTGCAGCTGGACTGCATGTCTGGTGGCTCCCTTGAGCATGGACATCTCTCATTAGAGGATGGAGCGACCCCAAGATGGAGCGACCCCTTACCCACAACAGATCCTCAGTGACTGACAGCATGCTGAATTAGTATTATGAAACATTACTAATCCACATAGCTATTCAATGTTATTATAAGCATTACATGGATAATTCCGTTACACCTAAACCATTGACCAAATCTGAGACTAAGACTGGAACCAGCCACAGCTGGGCTCCAGAAGTGGTTCAGAAAGCAAGAGGATCCACTCTGAACCTAATGATTCAATGGGAGAGACCTCCTTACTCGGTGTGTCTCTGGTCCCTGTGTGAAACATTCTAACCCAACCTGAACCCAATTTTCCTTCAAATGTTTTTTCCATGCAGTAATTAATAAGGTGAACCTTGCCATCAAGCTTACTGAACCTTGTCAAACTACTGTTAAACTCTGTTAAATTCCATGGAACTTATTGAGCTCTGTAAAGTTATTACTTTGCCTAACTAAAATATATTGCTGCTTCTCTCTAGTGAGGTGCTTTCCAGTCATCTGCAACAAGAGCACACTCAGCTTTTGAAGGAATGAACAGGAAACCAGAAGACAGGGAAACCAAGAGAAATGAATGAAATGCACTGGACTGAGAAGGAATGAAACAACTGTATCAGTAATGAAATACAAATATTTCAGTCCAGCCTTAGTCTCTAAATCAAGCAGGAAACAAAAGCAGACTAAAGCCCAAGCTTCCAGAGTCTGTGCAATCCCAGGCTACAGGTTTCCAGGTCCATTAGGGCTTTTCAGCTTTGTTTGTGGACACTCAGTTTCAGCTTGCCTTATTCAATGAATAAATACATCAACCCCAAAAATTTAATTACTCCAAAAGTAAATTGGAACTGACTTCACCAACATAACTAGTAGATGGATCTAAACCCAGTGATACTGATTTTAGTTGTTGCTGCAGTGATCTTAGACTATTGTACATTAAGGAGTAAAGTGATCCACATACCAGCTGACCTGAACTGGTGCAGGCATGCACACTACTATACTTATCACTCAAGACAACTGGATGAACTCAGCAGACGAATGGCAACAGAATTTGCAGCTCCCACATGGCACCTGGTAATCGTACCAACTGCATGTGGTGCAATTTGCCTGGAAAAGAGAAGGCTCCAGTGGAAGACCTTGCTTTTTAGTAGGATCTGTAGCAATAGGACAAGGCTAATGGCTTTAAACTAAAAGAGGGTAGATTCAGACTAGATATAAGAAAAACCTTTTATAAGAGTGCTCTCTGGAGCAACACCACAACAGACTGCCTAGAGAGGCGGCAGATGTGCCATCCCTGGAAACATTTACGGTCAGGCTAGATGTGGCTCTGAGCCACCTGCTCTAGTTGAAGATGTCCCTGCTCATTGCAGGCAGGTTGGACTAGATTATTTTTAAAGGTCTCTTTCAACCCAAACTATTGTATGTTTCTATGTCTGTATTTTAAAGCGAAGCAGGATGTTTTCGTCTAACACCCTTTTGCTTGGCAGAGGAAACAGAGCTGCTTACTTCCAAGAACATCCTGTAACAGCTCTGAAGATGCTAGCAATCCTCACCACACACAGGATCTGTACAGCCTGCCACGCCTAGATGCCTGTCCAATGCAGATGTAAAGTTACTCTATACTGTCCCCCTTTTTTGCTTCTCCTGCTTATATCCAATAAATATTATTTTAATCAATGTTAAAGAGTGCAAGCACCTTTCTTATGGAAATCTGTAACAAACACCTGCACTAGTGTGCTATACCTGTTCAGACATTACCTTTCCTAAATGTCCCGATTATTGGAATAACATGGAAAGAAACAGACTGGAGAAGAAAAATCAATGAGAAAGAGACATTTGCAGAGGTAAATACAACAGAAGCCAGTTAAACCCTGAAGCAGATGGAAAGCAGAAGAGTATGTTAAAACACAACAAAACCAACACAACCCTAGGGCTTAGGGGTTTGTTTGTTTTCTTTATTTCAGTAGTAAGACAAATTACAACATAAACCAAGATCTTCTGCATGGCAAGTTCGGAGCCTCACCAAGTAAGAGCTGTAAAATATGGTCCCAAATAAAACCAACATCCTTAATAAAGCCACACAAGTCAGGATTTCATAAATATCTTCCTATCCTCATGTAGCCTTATGAAACGTAACTAAAAAATTAAATTAAAATATCTGGTAGTTAAAACACCTACCTCCAAATGTTTTAGAAGCAATAATAATCAGGCAAGCTAGTATCATAACTTCCTAGATTTCAGTATCACACAATGGAAGCCTTCATTCTAATTCGATTTACTGAATCAGCAGTACATGAAGAGATCCTCGGATTACTTCAATTACCAACATGCAAACCCATACATTATCTTGTACATACATGCACTAAGAAGCAAGGTTCGGAGACTCATTTCTAAGCTGCTGCCAAAACTAGTTCCAGGAACAGCAGCTGCAATCCCACCTAGTTGTAGTCACCTGAAGTAATTTCCAGAACTACTAAAACCAAATTACAGAGATATGACTGCAGTGTACACTACAGTCATAAAACCTGACATGTTGCCTCATCACATTAAAGAGCTACTACTGTCAAGCTCGTTTATTGAGTTTCATCTCTGCACAAGTGAGCTCACCACAATGTGAGAGTTGATTTTGTAAACCTATATCACTATCATCCAAGCAGCAGCTGCACTATTCTGGCTTTTTAAAGCTATTGCCAAGTTGGTTAAATCAAAAGAGAAACAGAAAAGTTTAGCCTGTAGGAGAGAGCAGCTCAGACTGTTCCCAGAACACTGATTATTTCCCTGGGCAGCACTTGATGACACCTCTAACTCTATACTGCTGAGATACACAAAGTGGGTTCTGCTTTACCCAAAGGAAAAAGTAAAGGCCATGGCAGTGCTTTTCTTCAACTGTGTACCCTCCTGAAATAACAAGTCTTTTCCTACCTGTGAGTAGTATTTCTCCTGAGGTTTCTTTTTTTTTTTTTTACCTTCACCTCTGCAAATCTTGCCATAACTATCTACCCAATACCTGGCTCTCCCTAAATTCGACTAATGGTACTTTTATAATAAAAGTATGGTGTAGTCCATTACAGTGCAAAATCTTATTTGTTTTCCCCCTAAAACCTGAATATTTTTTGTCCTCCATGGGATACATAGCATAAAAAGTTACATGAGTAACAAAGAAGCAGAAAAGTATTCCTCAAAACAAAGAAATGAATTAAAAAACAATCACCAAAAAACCCTGGTATTAATATGGTAAAGTAGTTAAAAATCTCACGAGACTGTATGTGCCTACACATTCACACACATGCATACTGTCTTGTGAGATATATCAGATATAGTTTATGTACATATACACAAGACATCCATCCCTTAAATGCAGATGCCAGCGTCTAGCTGTCAGCCACAGGTAAGCTCCAGGTGCCAAGTTTAACTGTGCAACCTGCAACCAAGCTTTTGCACTTAAATCACTGACTTTCTTTAAAAGATGGCACATGATCCTGATACAGTTGCAGCTGTTTTGAGGTCAGCATTCAATTATCAGATATTGGACTGTAAAACGGATTCCATAAAATAACTATAAACTTCATGGTATCCAAATGAAGCCCTAAAAGGCCTAGACCCAGACACAAGCAAGTGAAGTAGTGTTGCTTTTCACATTAAATCAATATTTACAAAGGTAACAGCACAAGATATGAGTGATCAGTTCTTCCAAACCTGATTCTCAGATAGAGCACCTCTGCAGCTAATAATTTCTGCCATGTGCTTGCATATACAACGTAAAGAATATTCTACTTGTGCTAGCCAGTATGGGCAAGTTGCAGAGGCTCCCAGAGGGTGGGGGTTTCTGTTTGCTTGTTTTTCACTGGCCAGTTGTGGCCCCTGTGTGATGTTACAACACTTTAACTGTTTTGCCTTACCATCCATCAACACATGCAGCCTTCTCCAATGGGAAGTTGCCGTTTCCCCTGAAATACTCTTCAGGGTATAACTTGCTAAGAACATCACTAACAGTTCATTCACCCAGTTAAGCCACACATATAACCTTGTTTGTGTCTCATCTCTCACAATGCCCTAACACTAGTTCCTCAAAAGGCAGTTTTCCAAACTGTAAGTGGTCATTTGTGTTAACAGCCCAGGGGCCTCTGCTGCAGCCTTATTACAGTCTGTTCCTGCAGACACCCTGCTGGGTTTTGTTTTGTTTTTTTTTTTAAATCAACAGCTCTGCAGTTAGGCTTTCTCAGAATATGTGCACATAATCTTCTCTCAACTATTATTTTCAGTATCTAGTTATGGTAGTTATCTAGATGGTAGTTATCAAGCATTTACTTAAAATTGTTCAATTCCTTGCAGGTTCTAACCCATACCAAGAGAAAGGCTTTACTGACAAGAATTTTAACTATCAGCTCGTACTGTTACCTCCCAAAACCAATTCAAAAGGGTCACACCTCTTACTCCTAAACATGCAAAAATAGTTTTAAGATTTTGCAACTGCTGTCACCACACAGGAGCTGAACCACTAGCTGAAAATAATGTAGAAATTTCTTCCCTTAAATGTTGCTTCACATAATAAAAAGAAAATTAAGCAGAACACTTCATGCTTCCCTTTCTGTAGTGGTATTGTGTTCCCCATCTCATCCACTTACTCAGAGACACTAGGAATAGGAAAAACTTAAAGTTCTATGCATTTTAGTAAATGTCTGCAAGTGCCTGTAACTTAACTACCAAGTTCTGTCAAATAGAGTAAATGCCCTTCTAACCCTTGCCAACTTCTTATACTACGTATCTAGCAGTTCTCCTGGTGTGGAAGTTGATAGAACACAAAGCATTTGTAGGCCCTGGTTTGGGACACGTTTTAACAATAAATAAACACATGCACACCAATCAAACAGGAGTCTGATTCTACAATAGCAATCGGTACTTCACAGTAGGGCTTCTCAGCAGCTACTCTTGCAGGGCTTCTCTTCCCTATGGGAAAACAGCTTGCAGGTCACAATTTTCATGGGCAGGCTCTGAAAGACACAGGGTCCTCTCAACAAACTCTGGGACTTTGCTACTCTTTTACTTTGCAAATACTTAACTCCCTGTCACTAGGTGTATCCGTCAACTTTACCAGAGGGTATTTTGCAACTTTGAATACTCACTATGTATCAGTCCAACTTAAAATGAGACTTCGTGGCTGCCCAGCTGTTTCAGTTTTGGGTCACCTGTTCTTGGTTGAATGATATTCTGTACCAGATGTTTTGCACCAAAGATCCAGCCTCAGTTAAAAGGAACAGCGAGGTACGCGAGATCATTTCTAATAAATTATTAATGACAGTAGAAAGAAGGTGAAATAAAAGAATGACAGTTCCAACTATGCTCAGTGTGTGTGTTTTGTTTTTTCTTTGAACTGCAATACAATTTTATGCTTTAAGAATATCTTCCATTCAAACATCTCAAAGTGCTTCCCCACATCTATCAAGTCACATAAAACTTGCTGCAGCATAATAGAATATACCAGTTTCACAGAGAAGAGCAACATAGACAGTATTAAAATTTTACTAAAATAAACATTAGACCTCCTAATTGACATCATGTCTAATCAAAGCAAGACCATATTGGAAATCTAATAAGCTGCTAACATGAACACATGTAACAAGATATACACACATGATACAGGAGTCCCTGTGGAACACTATGTGAGGAAAAACTGGGGCTCTTACCAGCAACTGCTATGAAGATTATTAGCAACACATCATTAATAGCTTTACACTAGTTCATATACCTTCTGTTTTATTTAGGAAAAAAACCTGATGCAATTAATAGGGTATTGAAAGGCTTATTTCAACAATATTCCTGTTGAATCTGGATTTCCACAGGGAGATGAACAAATAGATCCATTTTTACAGGACCTGTTTTATGCAGGTCCCTCTTCCACAATAAAAGACTATATTATGTCTTAAATAGAGTTTTTCTATAGTTTCTACTTTTGAGATATATACTGTAGTGCATGTTACTATTTTTCATTAAAAGAGGCACGGAATATTCAGTTTAGTGCACTGTAAACTTTAAACTTCCCAAAGAAAAACTCGGGCAATATGGTGATTAACCCAGGAATGGACATTGCTGGAAACCTGCTAACTTGACACACCAGTAAGTTGTTATTAGCCTATATGGCATTTTTAATAAAAAATATTTAAAATTAATTATATTCCTATATGCACATTTTATGTACAAGCTTTAATCTGGAGTTACTTTGATGTCCATTGATCAGACCCCCTTTTGAAGCTTAACAGCTGAAGATAACCTCAGGCAGTGCCAAGTGCAGCTCCACTTTTGCTCAAAAACTAAGGCCAGCTTTACAGTTGAAAGCTACATTGTCTAGAACTGAACTGCTCCAGCTATGGATTGAATTAATCACATAGGCAAATCCTAATCTTGCCTTTACTAAAAAGAGTAACAAAACTGTCATCCATTGCACAGCAAGTAGGATTGCCTCTCTCTACCATCACATCGGCAATAGAGAACATAGCAGATTTCATCAATTCATCATCATGGCTTGTAACTATCTGTGACAAAAAATAGCAGTACACTACACTAAAGCTGCAAGAGCAAACTAAATAGATAAAAATAAGTTTTAAACATCTGGAGTAAGAACTACAACATCCCAATGACAATTTAATGGAACAAGTTGTTTTAAGAGTCATAAATAGATATTTAGTTATCTTAAAGTATTTATACATTTGATATTTTCATATTTATGTTACAAATTAGACCTCTATGTAGAGTCAAGAGGCAAACTAAATCAAGCTAGATATTGAATACATTTTATCAGATTTTTAAAACACAGTAATATTTGACAAGTTATCTACCATACAGCTGGTCCATATTGTCAACTAGTCACAGTATTGGTGAACATTACCAAAGTTTTACGAGTGATACAGAAACCGAGATACTCTCAATTCCACAGTGTCTCCACTTCAGCAATGTCAGAACTGAAGAGTATACTTTTTTCTGCTTTTTAGGATAAACTGTAGAAAAACAACTACCCCTCCCATTTATACTGGTACAAGCAAGCTAATCATAGAAACATGGGACTCTGGCACTCAGTTAAAGGACAGGAAAAGCATTTCTCTAGCTCGTGGCTACTAAAAAAGAAAATATTTTCTTTTATCCAAATAAGCACACGACTTACAATTTGGGTCCTGTCAAAGGAATGAAACCCAGTATATGAATGTACCGACAGGCCACAGGCCCTTCCTAGCAGCAGACTTCATTCAGCCAAGTAAGTGGGTTATTTCATACTGAATCAACATAAAACTTTTAGCTTGAGTTAATGCACAAACTGCTGAAATACAAACTTCTGAGCAATATTCATAACAAATCAAATGCCTTTCACCAGTCATCCCCATGTAGTTGTTATCCCTTAGCAATGGATACAAAGGTATTGGAAAATACAGCATATTCATCCCAAGCTTGATATGCTTTGTCTCCGACCTGCATTTGAGACGTGGCAGACTTCTGTTTTCAGAGCAAACAAAAGGGCTTAGCCAACTTTTAACAACAACCCCTGCACCACCGTTTTCTCTCTCGGGATCTCGGCGTTTTCGGCGACCAGAAAGCGCAAACTCCGGCAGCCCCTTCCCAGCCCCAAGACTGCCGAGACCTGCTGACAGGAAGGGCCCCGCTTCGCCTCCCCCACGCCGGCTCCTCTCCGGTCCCCTAAAGCGAGTACCTCAGCTGGCGAGGCGGAAGGCGCGGCCCCAGGCCGGCTCCGCGAAGGCCAGCCAGGCCCGTACACCGGCCTCCTCGGGCGGCACCCGGGGCAGGAGCCGAGGAGAGGGGCAGCGGCCCAAGCGGGACCCTCAGCCCCCGGTGAGGGGAGCGCCGGGCTGCCGGGCCCACCAGCTCCTCCCTGCACGGCCCCAGTAACCGCTCCCCCCGGGGCCACGAGAGATCGGGCAGCCGGGGGCTCCGCCGCCCCAGCGGCTGCAGCGGTCACCGTGCCCTGGCCCTCACGTAGCCCGCCCTCCCCGTCAACAGCCCTGACAACCCCCGAGCTCACCGGCACCGAGTTCAGTCCCTGTTGCTCCGAGGCCTTCAAGAGAATATTGTGAAAATCCATGGCCAGCTCGAGAGGGGCTGGGGCACCGGCCCTCCTCCTCCCCGCTCCCCTCCGCGCCCGACGGAAGCGCCCCCCACCCGCAGCCCACCCCTCCGCCACCGCCGCTCGGCTCAGCTCCGCTCCGCTCGCTTCCGGCCGCCACCGCCTACCCTTTATATCACCTCGCCTCGCGCCGGCGTCACCCTGCCTGCACGTCACTTCCACTGTGACGGACGCCACGCCTCAGGAAACGTCTCCGCTGCAGAGGGGGGAGCGGTTTCCCGTGCTGTTCCTCTCAGCGGCGCCTCTCCCGGAGCCCCGCGGAGCAGCGAGGTCCAGGGCCGAACCGGGCGCGGCCTAATAACGGCCTCCGGGGCCGCCCCTGCCCCGCCCCTCGCTGCCCTCCGCAGAGTTCTGCCTCTGCGGCCCCTCGTGCGCCTTGGTGTCACCTAGACTAACAGAGCGCCAGCTCCGCGGCCTCGGCGTGCGGACAGGTCAACAGACGAAGCAGGTGGCTAGTTTATTTAATAACAGCTCTTGCTCCTCCGCTGGCGGTGAGGTTTGTTGGGTCTTGAAGGGGGAAAGCTGTTTGGGGTGAGGGCTGAGGTGCTCCCCAACACCTGCCCCAGTGCCTCTCGCATTCCCGGGGAGGGAGGTCAGCTGCTAAGGTGACCACAGCCGAGCAGAAACCCTGTACCAAAAGTATGTACTAAGTTTCCGCAACGACCCTCCTTGGTTGATGGGGGCCTTGAAAAACGGTTCTTGGCTTCTAGGCACGTCATGGTTGCACTATCAGCACGCCCTGGGTCCCATGAATGCCTCCTGATAAACAGGGCTCCCCAGAGCAGTGCTGACCTTCGAAGGGGCCAAACAAAACCCTCTGTGTGGTTTAAATACTCTTCCAAGTCTCTCACAACCCGGAAAACTGTGCAAGAATGTAGCTGAATAAAGACTCTTCCCTTGTACCAGTTGTCAGCTCTTTTCAGGAGCTGTTATCTGAGATCCATCTGAAAAATTCCTCTACTACACACTGCTTCTAGAGAAACACAGGCACTGAAAGGAAACTCTCCCTTCCCTCCCGTCTTTATTTCATTCTTCTTTAACATAAATTCTTCTTTAACATTGCTATTCCTTGACCACTTTTCACTTTCTGTTCCTCCAGGTTCCTGCCTTTTCCAATCTCCCTTTGCCTCTTCACTGCCTTCACCTTATTTTTTCTGTATCTGAAATGCCTTTCCTGGATGTAGCTATAAGCCATGTTGCAGCCTGGGATAAAGGTGTCCAGTGTGGCCCTAACTGAGATGAGGAACAGGACAATATTTAGAGTGAGGCATCACACCAGTTAACTCACAGGGCTTTTGTAGTTCTTGAGCTAAGGGAGACCTGAAGTTGTTTCTGTGATGCTTGCATTGCAAGCAGGGTGATGCTTCCACTGATCTCTCTTTGCTTTCACCTGGGCCACGGTCCCAGTTTAAACCCTTGTCCTTTAAGAACTTAATCTTTCTCTCTCTTCCCCTTTTAATTCTTACCTCCATAAGACACTGCACTGACTTTTTACTTCTGACTCAGACCTAGATCATCTCTTCTGGTTACCGCCCTTTTTTGTATTTTTACTTTCTTTAAATTTTCAGCTTAAGTATTTTTTTAATTGTAAGACTTTCCAGTCTGTCTTCACAGGCAGTGAGTGGTTCACCAACTTTCTCTCAGTTTTGGCATTCTGTTACCCATGGTGGTGCTGTCAAAGATATGATGCCATTTTCTGGGAGTCTTATCTGCCACCCCATCACTGCTGTGGTGCTTCTTGAATCAGAATTTCCCTGGTCTGTCTTGAATTTCTTGTATCTCCACTGCACTGCTTCCTTGAGAGGGCTTTTAGTATGACTCGGATTCCTGTATAACAACAGCAGTATTGACAGAGCGATGGTTGTTGCTCTCTGTGGCTTTTATGTTTGCTTACTTTGGTCCCTGTGAGAGCTGGCAAAAATACTTGGCTAAATGCAGTCTTTATTCTGCTGACTGCAATCTTGAAGATGAGTGAGGAAAATCTCTCCCTGCATCTAAAAGAGATCAGGGGATGGCATGGCAGCTGTTTGTTGCATGCCACTTTTGGGAAACCTTTAACCACAGTCCTTACCTTTTCCTGTTTATGACAATAGTGTGATATCACGTGTCCTTCATCAGACGGGATTTATATCTGTGTTAGGGCCAATGGGAGAAATAATAGTGCTGTGTAAATGTATGCTGCAGGCATTTTATAGGGCAGCAGCAAGAGACGCTGAGCTGTGTCAGGATTCTCAGATTGCACCTGTGGCAGTTAAATCCAGTTCTAGCGCATGTTACACACCAGCACAATGCCTTGATGTGGTCCAGTCTTTTCTGGCAGATGTGCAACAACAAATGGGAACCTCCATGCCATGTATGCCTACAGATCTATCGTCCCTGTGTCTTAAATCACTTCCCAAATTGTGTTCACTCTTCATAATCTTTGCATATGTTTCAAATGTGATGAATTGATCCAGACCAGACTTGTCAGGATTCCCAAGTACAGCTGGTTTTTCAGCAGCAGGAGAAGAAACAAATTCTGTGCTCTTAAGCCAAACTGATACTCCTGTTAAATAAGCACCAACATAGAAAATGTTTCTTACTCATTTCGTAACTCTCTGACTTGTCTGATTCTGTGCATGTTTAACCCCAAATATACTTTGAAAGACTCATGGAAGTTAGTGAATTTAAAACTACATCTTACATAAAACCAAAATAACTCCCCTCAAATCTCCCAAGAACCGGTAATTTCCGCTTTTGAAAAAGTTCAGATTGATTTATTCTTCTTGTGTGTAACTTTTTAAGCAGGAACCTGGTTAAGTTTATTTTTTATGAAATATCTTCACATTAGGAAATTACTTGAGACTAGAACTGTTTATCAAAGACTTAGAAAATGTAAGACAATATTCCACCAGAAAGTGTCTTCACTGCAAGTTTTTAACCAGCTGTACTCAACAAGTTTTTCACCCCAGCCATGCACACTTCAGGCATGTGACTAATCTTATTAATTTTGAGTGAAGTGTGCTTAAGTGTTAAAAGGATTAGAATCTTAATTACAGGCCATCTGCAGAGGTCAAATATCAAAGGCTGTTCAGAGCCCAAGTTTTAGCATTTTCTGGGTGAGTAATATTTGTGTTAGTTTTCCTTTCCCCTGTTCACCCAGGATCCTTTCTGCAGTAACTTAAATGGGTGTTCTAATATGGCCTTTATTAAATGAACTGAATCATCCTAATGGCCAACAGACAGGTCTCTAGATCATCAGCCATTTAGACATAAGCAAAATTGGCAGGATGTGCTCAAAAGAAGCCTACAACTTGGAAAACACAGGTTTGAACAAATCAAGCTTTCATGGCGTGGTGCCAGCCTACTTTATTACTGCTTTTCATGTGAATTATTAACTACAGGATTTTTTTTTTTTCCCTAATGATATATTAAACAGAAATGGAAAGCAAGAGTCTTGGGATGGTAATTAGCTGGTACTGACAATACGTAATTTTGACATCTAACCTTGATGTCTAAATTATGACCTTTGCCTCCAAACAGGAGTATCAGAGAAACAAGGATGGGAATTGCCCACTTCCTCCCACCCAAAAAGCAAGATCAATTGTATTCAGGTAATTTCTGACACGTACGTTGTCCAGCCTGTGCCTGAACACTCAAAACCCAATGCTGTTGTGCCCTGCAATAATCTTTCTTACTGTTTTTTTATCTGCACCATGAGCAATCTGTTTCAAACATCAAACCCAGCTCTTTGTTGGCCACTGAGCCTTTTCAGCAAGTGAATTTATTGGCCTCTCCCTTAGAAATACAGAGCACATATTTAGGGCCCCCCTACTGGGTCTCCTTTTTCTCTAGGCCAAACCACTCCAATTCTTCCAGTGTTTCCTCATAAAACCTCTAATTCCTTATTCTACCCAAAGCAGAAGACAGTACTCCAACTGAAGGTTTACTCGCCCCAAGCATAACAGAAGAATAGCTTCATTTGCCTGGCAAAAAATATTCTTTTTTATATAACTCCAGGTGCTATTTACATTTCTTGTAGTGGTATGGCTGACTCCTGTTTGGTTTGCCATCTGTGCTAACCACCAAGTCTGTTTATTCAGTGATGCTATCAGACCAGTAATTCCACAACCTCCATTCCCGATGTTGGTGATTCTGCAGAGAATGAAAGCACCTCCTTTGTATTTTCTTCCCCGCTACTGTAATTTGCCAGGTTCATTGTGATCCTAACTTTATCCTGCAAAACTTCCTGCCCCTCCAAGCCAGTGGATTTGGTAAGCAAGTTGTCTGTTCTGCCATCCAAGTTGTTTAATGGAGATACTCCTGCAGAATTCTGCTTGATGCATCCAGCCAAGTCAACAGTGTACTCTTGCTAAATATTCTGTGGGTCCAGTTTCCACCCAGTTGTGTGTTCATCCATTTGTGTTTTTCTGGACTTGCTTGTGAGATGCATGGCCATGTGAGACAGTGTTAGAAGTCTTTCTAAAACAGAGATATCTGGCATGTGTGCATTTTCTGCTATTGCAGGAAATAGACAAAAACCCTTCTCTGATATGTGGTATCAGGATACATGGACAGTAGGTTGAGCTATTTAAGCAAGCAATATATTCATAAGAATTCTGAAAATATGAGGCAAATAAAGGATTATTTTATAAGAATAAACTTCCTTCCAAAGTTACTAAAAATTAGGCAATGAAAAAAATCACCATCATAGTAAATGTGGAAAAAACAGTATTTAAATATTGAACAGCGGGCACAGCGCTCAGATATTATAGAGTTAATAGGAAAGCAAACAACGTATGTAAGACAGTCTGCAAAGCAATAAGGGTTTTCCTTAGTGATTAGGTGGATTTAGATCACAGGGGAAACAGCCTTTGGGGAGAGCATCCAGATAAGAAAACCTGGACTGAGAGCCGACTGCCCCAGTTTAGTGAGCTGATTCCATCAGATCAATCATTCAGTGCTGGCAAGCTCTCTGCCATAGAAAATACCCACAACCAAAACCCCTGTCTG